ATCTTTTTGTAAAAATGTCAAATTCTTAAACCTCCTGCCTCAACTGAAATGACTGCAAAATTTTTACACGGTCTAATCCAGCTGATCATTAACTTCAAGCCTCCTTTTCACAAAGGCGTATCATTCGGTTTACCTGAAATATCTTCTTTTCGTCGGACTTGTAAGATCATGGTTGTTCAAGCACACTGATTAATTTCCCTTTTTCACCATTCAAAGCTGCACTAATCCGACTCTTACAATCTGTTTTTGCAACGGGTGTTTTTCAAGGTATTTCTACATTTACTTCTCTCCTTCCAGAACAAGAACACGCCAATGTTACGTATCTCATCTCCCCATCATATCCTTTCTTTGACGTAGTATCATTGCTCAAAATCCATTTATTTCCCATACCTTCTGTAATACTTCACCAAACATCAACTGAATCAAACACCATCCAATATGAGCTCCACTTCTTCCTCTGCACATCTGTATCTTCTAATTCATCACCATTCATTTTCCGATTCAATGGTTTTATAATAAAGAAAATTAGAATGTGAACACCATCAATAAAACAATACAATACACCATATTTAAAAAGTTTTCTAAACCATTTAACTCACATATTGAAACGAGGCGAACTGGACTTCCATATTCAGTTATTTCATGCACAACTAATACCAGTTTTGCATTACGAATCTAGTTCACAACTGTCACCAACAATATTATCTATAAACATGTATTCATCCTACACCAAACAAATATTATCGATCAAACATATATTCATCTAAAAAGAATAGGAAACAAAATGAGATATATAAAATAAGTCAAAAATTCTTACCTTAACAAACAAATCCAGCTTTAACAGTTTGATATTACTTTGTTTCAAGGTTATGTCTATAAAACGAGATATTGCTGCTGGTGCTTGATGAGATAGTGCTTCTAGTGCTTGGTTGTGAGGAAGCAACCGGCGTCAAGAATCACAACACGCAACGAAGGAGAAGCTAAGAAAACCAAATGGCGCATGAAGAACAAAAGAAAAACAAATGACGGAGATGAGGAGAAGAGAGAAGAAAAAAATTGGCGCTTAAAAATGAAGGTATTAGAAAAGCCATTCGTTAATATTAATTAAAAAAAAATTCAACAAACTATGGACGCCAGTCATGTACATTGGCGGCGTCCATACTACTTTGGACGGCCGTCCTAGTAGATGGACTGGCGCCATGTAGTTTGGACCGGCCTAGTGATGCGCCAGTCCCTACTAGGGACGGCCGTCATATTTACATTATAGTTAAAAAAAAAAATTTAATAATAAAAAAATTTACAAACTGGGGAACGGGCGTTCCATCACTATGGACAGGCGTCCATATTTATGGACGCCCGTCCTCTGCTAATTGTGGACAGGCGTCAATTTAAGGTCTATTTCAATCGGTCCAACGTGGCGGCTTCACATGTTTCAGTGCAATTTTCGGTACAACTTTTTGGTGGATATAGCATTTTGTCTACCACTTTATGGTAAAATATACCTAAACACGATGTGGGCTTGAATGGGCTCTAAATTGAATTTGTTGGGCCTATTACAATACAAATAGCCTTCCTAGCCTACTGCCCACACCCTCTATACAATGTGCAGTGATTACTATTTAGATTAGTAGTAATTTAACATGTGTTAGGTGATTAGACCACTAATACTAACCCTAGCAAACCCCTCTACACTTCTCACACCTACATGAAAGTTATAATTGGTTATTGGTCAGAACGAGACCTATTATTGGACCGGCGAGACCATGTGAATGACGAATTATGAGCTACCATGTGACGTTTATGAGAGAATTAGTGAGAAGTGTTAGTAAGTGTAGTGTTACTCTGATTAGATTTGTAAAAATTAAAAAATGAAATAAATGAGCTTTCAAAAAAATAAAAAAGTGATTCATGATTATTTTTTTTGTAAATATACCTCATTTATAGTATAGAGAAAGGAAATTTGGCCTTACTCAAAGGGGATTGCAAGTCTGTGAGTTGTAGAGATTTTGTGTCTGAGTTACACCAAATGACCATCTGTGATTAATAGTTTATTGGACCTGCATATATCCAAATCATGGTCCGAACTTCTTCCACGCTATACCCCTTGCCAAGAAGAATTCGGTCACAGGCAATCTATGACCAAGAGTCCCTGGTGATTTTCGAAGAAGCATGGAGACGTCAACCCCTAATGAATGGAAGTACGCAACTGGTCCTTGTCCATACCCAAATCTTCAAGAACATCATGGTGGGTATTAGATTTTTGGATGAAGTAAATGAGCACAATGAAGACCTTTGGATGAGAATGTTAGGAATGTCTGATTTAGGTACCCCAAGATCAAGAAGAAACTCAAATAGTGGTTTGATTTTCCCCTCCAAGCTGCAGAGAAGCCAAAATCACCTTGTAATTAATTACCTTCATCTGCTCAAGATCCATGCCAAGCTCTAAGAGGTAGAGGAATTGAGGGCTAAGCTTCCATTCTAACAGGTGCATTAGAGACCCTTTTTACATTGGCCTCAATTTCATGTCATCTTCTGACTTCCTACAATGTTTAGTAAGTTGTGACCTCCCACTCTACATCTCTAGCAGTGTATGACTTGCGTGTATAGATTCAAAGTCCATAAACATTGTTCGAAACATTTAGTCATCGTTCATGACGGCAATAGTATATTTTATGTAATTACTATTGATCTGCAGATGAATTGCAGCGAGAACTTCAAATACTGTTTCTTTAATGGAGGGACCTGAGCAGCCAATTGAGCCCATCTCTGATATTGGCATCTACAAAATCAATGTTCACATGTTTAACAATGGAAAATGGCCATTTTCATGCCTAATTTTTTCTGTGAGTTTATGATCTGGTTCGTTATTATTTAATCGATTTTGAGTAAATTTTGGATAAGTAAATATGAAAAAAAAAAAGGTTTTAACTTCACAAGATTATAACTTCAATATTTTCGTGTCCGTGATGTTCAAATACTTAAAAGCAGTAATAAAACTCAACGCAAAGCAAACAAATAAATCACCAAGTTTTGATGGAAAGTGGTAGTTTTTCTTGAGTCATTTAATCATGAAAAAGGATACGGACTAAAGTACTAAAACCTTTTCTCATCCTAATGCATGTGAAAAACTTAATTTTATACAAACCATCGCTGCAGAAAAACTCCATGTACAGGTGAAAGTCAATGACATTGCACGGTGAATCTCCATCTTCATGTGAAGTTGAGGACGCGCAAAGCGAATCTCCATCTTGATGTGAAAAAGCATACAGATATTAAAAACAGCTAAAATCACCACGTCAATCGGCTAGCCAACATTATTTGTATCCACAACTTGTCACCCTAAAGATGAATGGCTAAGTTTGAGTAAACATGTAAGAGATATAAGAGAAATGAGTTGCTGAAAACGTGGGGCAGGCAATGATACGTATAAATTGTCATTCCTCCAGCAGACAACATTCTGCACAAGGTATTTCTTCTACTGGTTAAAGGGCATAAAAAATGGCATACCCATCGCTGCAACCACAACCAATTCCCGTACATTCGTGCTTAGATATTTTATGGCTCAATATCAGGTTTTAAGGATCATCCCCTGCCATTACTATCAGTTGAACCCTCTTCTGAAAGCATTTTCTTCATTTTCTTATTCAGAGTTTTATCAAAGTCGTGGCTTGATAGCGATAACATCTGGCTCAGCAAGACTGTCACTCACACATCCTTTACACGTCATACCGAGGTTTGATTCTCTCTTTCTAAACTGTAACCAAAATACTGCAGGAACTTTACCAGCTCTGACTTGTCATAGCCATGGTAAAAAGAACTCCCATTTGGGTATCAAGTTCTCTTTCAAGCTGAGAGTATACAGAATTCCATATCTAGAAATCATGATCCCGATTTCCTCCATCCTGAATCCCCTCTCGATGAAAAATTCTGTCACAGGCTTAAGATTGGCCTCGATACTAAGACCAAGAATCTGTGGACATCGCTGGGAGAAGAACGGGAATGTCAACTCCTAATGATCGGAAATACTGGCTGTCGGTCGTAGCTTGTTTTCAACACTGAACTTATAATGTTTGGGCACTGAGTTAAGATCTTACCTATGCTCTTGGCTGAGAGGCCCATCTATAGAGGAAATCTACAGTTGACTTAAGCCTCTGCCAGCTAAACAGAGAATTGTGGGACAACGGTATATAACTTTGCCCACTGTTCTTGTCCACACCACATTCTTCTAAGAATTTCATGGTGGGCATTAGGTTTTTAGAGAGACTAAATCCAAACAGTTGAGGCCTTTAGTAAGAATCTTACTACGCTCTCAGTCGAGAGGCCCATCTCATAGAAGAAATCTACATATGACTTAAGCTTCTGCCTGCTATGAGTGAGAAGTGCAGGCGAACGGTATATAACTTTTGCCCATTTTTTCTTGTCCACACCAGATCTTCTAAGAATCTTGGTGGGTATTAGGTTTTCAGACAGACTAAATCCAAACAGTTGAGGCTTTTAGTAAGAATTACAGGAATATCTGATTTAAGTACCCCAAGATCAAGAAGAAACTCAACGAGGGGCTTGATTTTTCCCTCCAAGTGTATTTGGCAAAACCAGGAAATCTGTGTACTTGACTGATTGCTCCAAGGTCCATGCCAAGCTCTATGAGGTAGAGAACTGAGGGCTGAGATCTCCCTCAGGCCCCCCCTCACTCACTCGAGAGACAGCTTTAGCTTCTTGGAGTCAATAGGGGATGGGATGGAGAAACTTGTGCCATGGCTTTTCTTAAGGGTGCATTAGGAAAGTTCTCAACTAATTCTACCAGAATTTTCCCATACTCTTCATGGAGAGTTTCAAGGTACAGACATAAGGGCATCTTAATCTCAAGAGTTGTGAGCTCTCTTCCTGCAATGTCAATTAAAATTTGATAAGCTGGGGAGCCTAAAAGAGAAAGAGACACCAACAAAACAGTCGTCACAAAAAAAGTAAAATTCTGCAATCGAACCTACTAGATACGAGATTTATGAACTGAATGGAGCCTTGAGACAAGATGGTCGATAAAAAGATCTGATGTATTGATGGTTCTTGCAGCAAAGGCCTTGCTCAGACCTTGTTTCTTCAAGAATAAAGTTAAGACACCTTGGCTTCTCCTTTTCAGCTGCTACAAGGTGGAGACACTACGCTTAAGCTGAACGATCCATCTACCCCAGACTCAGCTGTCATTATATAAACACAGTGGAGTGGTACAAAACAAAGGAATATATACAAATGCACTAACTTTTAGGTTTATATGGAGGTAGGAACAGCACTAGAAAGACTGCTAGCATACCAAACTTTGCTCGGCAAAAGAGAGCTTTTCAGGAAAAGTAGGTCGACTCCTGCAGAAAGTTGAAAGGAAGTGAAGGCACTGCTTAACAAAAATTGAGCAGAAAAAAAAACTATAGAGAAATGGAGGATTGTGGATTAGAAGATTCTTAGTTCAACAAAACTTATCAAATGCAATTACTTGCACTCAGAGACTTCACCAATTCTCTACCAATCAGTGACATAGAAAGTATTTCTTGAAATTTCAAGACACTCTTATCTTTATGCATCTATAATATAATAAAACAGGTATATACTCTGGCAAACACACTAAAATAAGACATACAAGTGTCTTATTCAATAACACTGGGACACAATGGTTGATCCATGATCTTATCTTTAATTTTCCTTCACCCACCACAACTCTCATATCTTCTGTTGGCACCAACTCAACCCATAGGTTCATTGCATGCAACGAATTAGACATGCTCTGTTCCAATTCTATCCTAATGTCTACAGCATTCATTTAATTCTACTCGGAAAACACAGTTCGATGCCTTCAAAAGCACCCTTAAATGTATGATAATGTTTGATAGGAAGCACTTAAAAAATATATAAAAAATCTAACAGTGCTTCACAGGAGTACACCCTTCAAAGAACTTTTCAAGACCTATCCAGTACAAAAACGTGCTTTCGCCAAGCTTTTTCCAGTAACAAAAAATTCCAGAAAGCACCCTACTCCTAAAACCCCCCCAACCAACCCCCACCACCACCCCCACCCCACCCCCACCCCCAACCCACCCCCAATGAATTAGAAATCTAGTAACTTTAACAATGAGGGACATCTCAAAATCTAAAATAACAAAACCAAATCAATCATGCAGCTATCTTAACCACTCTAACAAGTGCTTCCCAAAGAAGCACTTATGTAAAGTACTTTTCAAGACCCAAAAAACAGCTTCTGTCCACCACAAGATAAACAAAAAAAAAAAAAAAAAATTGCGTTTGCAAGAGAAGAAGCACAGTAAACACTCCCAAAAACCCTAAACTCTACATTTCAAACCATTTGAATCAGAAATCTATTAACCTAAACTAAATATGTATGACATCTCAAAACAATAAAATCACAAAATCAAAATCAAGCATGCATCATTTCTCCCATACCTATACCCTTTAACTTCAAATCATAACAACTCCAAATATAAAAAAAAGCTACACTATTAATAAATCAAAAATAAAAATAAAAAACTACCTTGTAATTGAGAAGGTCCTCTAAAAATAGAAGATAACTCTGAAGATTGAATTGCACAAAGGGCCTTCATCTTCAATTTCAAGAACACCGAACACAAACCTGCATAAAAGCGAGGAAATTTCATGTTAAAGTTAAAATCTTTAGATAAATGGTCTGAACCACCAGCAAAATCAAAAAAACAAAAGCAACCCAGAAACCAAATTTTCTAAGCTACACATAAAGAACTTAAAACTGAAAGAAGTGATAATATCTGGCTCAACAAGCTCAAAAGACTAGACATTTCATGTTAAAATTAAAATATTACATAACTGGACTAATCCGCATCAAAAATCAAAAAACAAAAGCAACCCGAAACCAAATTCTTCTAAGCTACACATAAAGAACTTAAAACTGAAAGAACTGATAATATCTGGCTCAAAAGCTCCAAATACTAGACATCCCATGTTAAGATTTATATACATGGTCTAAATCTCCATCAAAATCAAGACACAAAAGCAACCCAGAAACCAAATTCTTCTAAGGTACACATAAAGAACGTAAAACTGAAAGAACTGATTAATATCTGGCTCAAAAGGCTCCAAAGACTAGGCATTTCATGTTAAAATTAAAATCTTTACCTAAATGGACCGTACCTCCATCAAAATAAAAAATAAAAGACAAAAGTAACCCAGAAACCAAATTCTTCTTAGCCACACATAGAAAACTTAAAACTGGTAATACTTGGCTCAACAAATAACAAGTACTGAAAGAAAATCAGAATGCGGATCTTACAAGCAATGGAGAACGGCACTTGATTCTGCAGCAGTAGCAGCAACTGTTACTGACCTCGTCTACTGAAGCCTAGTTCGAAACTGAAATCCCGGCAACAAGTATGGGCTTGAATGGGCCTAAATTGAATTTGTTGGGCCCATTACAATACTAATAGTCTGGTCACTGGTGGGTGAAATTTAAGTTTATAGAAAATAAAATAATATTATATAATAAATATTAAATATTATATTAAAGTCAAAAAAATTATTTACAATACAATAATCGACACAAGACGTTATCTAACCATCTTTAAATTTAAGATACAAAATTCATATTTAAGGAAAAGAAAAAAAAAAGGATGGTTTTGGAAAATTAATGTCTCTTGTTACGAATTCTGCGATAAAAAATAGTCGTTACCCTGTTTATAATATATTCGAGTCATATTACAATATAATAGTAGACACATAACGTTATCGGTTTAGTATAATCTTTAGATTCAAGATTTAAAGGTTCACGTATAGGAAAAAAAAATGTGGTTTCGGAAAAACAAAAATCTTTAACTAAGACAAATGATATAAGAGGGGAGGGGGCAATTTTGGAAATTTGATATCTCTCACTGCTGGTTTTCCCATTGTGCAATTGAATAAGTCTATCCTTACAAAGAACTCTACAAAGAAACTTACAAAGTGAAGAAAAAAACAAAGGAAAAACGGAAAAAGAGAAAGAGAGAGAGAGAGAGAAATGATAAAGATGAAGGGTGGAGGTTAACTTTGTATGCCTCCTTTGTAGGCTTCTTTGTAAGACTAGCACTGTTGTATGCAATTTATCCGAGTCATATTATAATATAATATTTAAACAAATAATGTTCTCAATTCGATACAATCTATAGTTTCAAGGTTCACGTTTGATAAAAAAAGAGGTCTAGTCTAGAAAACCGATATCTCTCACCGGCAACAATACCATAATACTCCCAAATCTTCTAAGAACATCATGGAGGTATTAGATTTTTAGATAAACTAACTGAGCACAGAGAAGACCTTTGGATGAGGATTTTAGGAATATCTGATTTAGGTACTCCAAGATCAAGAAGAAACTCAACTAGTGGTTTGATTTTCCCCTCCAAGCTGCAGTAGCCCAAATCACCTTGTAATTAATTACCTTGACTCAAGATCCATGCCAAACTCTAAGAGGTAGAGGAATTCAGGGCGTAAATCTCCAACTGCGCCAACCTCAATCATTCGAGAGACAGTTTTTGGCTTCTTAGAGTCAATGCACTGCTTAACAAAAATTGAGCAGAATAAAAAAAACTATAGAGAAATGGAGGATTGGGGATTAGAAGATTCTTAGTTCAACAAAACTTATCAAATGCAAATTGCTTGCATTTCGGAGACTTCACAAATTCTCTACACTATCACATGACAGAAAATATTACCTGAACTTGCAAGACACTCCATCTTTAATTTTCCCTTCACCCACCACAACTCTCATATCTTCTTGTTGGCACCAAGCCAACCCATAAGTTCAATGCATGCAATTAATTAGACATGCTCTGTTCTAACTCTCTCCCCCCCAGTGCATTTGAACTAGAATAACAACCTCTAACTGTGCTTCCCAAATAAGCACTAATGTAAAGTACTTTTTCAAGACCAAAAAACAGCTTCTGTCCACTACAAAATAAACTAAGAAAAAAAGTGCTTTTTGCAAGAGAAAAAGCACAGTAAACTCTCCAAATAAACCCTAAACCCTCCATTTCAAACCATCTGAATTAGAAATCTATTAAACTAAACTAAACTATGAATGACATCTCAAAACACTAAAATCACGTAATCAAAATTAAGCATGCATCATTTCTCCAAATACCTAAACCCTTTAACTTCAAATTATAACAACTCCAAACATAAAAAAATGCTACAATATTAATAAATCAAAAATAAAAAAAATAAAAAACTACCTTGTAATTGAGAAAGTCCCTCTAAAAATTGAAAAGAACAATGAAGATTGAATAGCACAAAGGGCATTCATCTTTGTTGATGCGTGATTTTGACACCAACTAACCGCACATGTGAAATGCTGAGCTGGCCTAGAAGACACACGTGAATGGGGATTGAGAATGTAAATAATGGCAAGACAATGTTTAAAGTGGTTCGGATGCTTGACCAAGCGCTACGTCTACTGATATTGTATTGATAATTAAAGGATCAGGTCGCTGCTTACCGAGCTGATAAGGATACAAATGAGAGAGAGATATTACAGAGAAAAGATAGCTAATCAAGAGTAAAAATGAGCGAATCCCACAAACGGGAGAGGAGCTCTCTATTTATAGTTGGATACATTGAGGTAATGATGAATCCGTAAAAAATGGGTCAGATACCGTGCAAATCTTCCTTTACGTCCCGTTATTCACCTACTCGCGTGATCTCCTCACTTTATGTAGGGATTGGACACGTGGACGACCTCCAGCCTTTCTTCAGTTTGGCGCGCACCCACTGCACTGGTAGGAGCATGCTGCTCACGCCAGCATGCGATGTGGCCGCGCTTGAATGGCTGCAGGATCTGCCCAGACCCTGACCACTTGCGTTGACTAAGCATTACGTCAACCCTACTTTTTCAGGCATAACAAAAGTCCCCTAATTTTTAAGGTTGGAGAATCGAACCTTGGAAATTACAAATGCCTTGATCTAACGTGCTCGAAGAGATGCTGTTCGAAGCGATTTGATTGTGAGGGAGGTTGAAAGGACATTTCCTCGCATGCGACCTTGGGTGGTCTTTGACTTTACAGCCAACAACCTAGACTTGGGTATCCAACGCTATAATGATGGTTCCAACCTGGGAGGAATCTTTGACTTGTTTGCACTTAGCAGCTTTCAAGAGGATAAGTGGTCACTTCTTCTCAGCTGAAATATGTCAAGGTTGAGGAATCATATTGCTTCGCAACCGATGTAAGACGAGGTTGCAGAGTTACGTCGCTTCGTGACTTTACATGACGAAAAGTGTTTTTCATAACGACCTCTTCAGATGTTATCCGTTGCGCTTTTGCAGCAAATACATTAAATGAAGCACCTTTTGCCCTAACAGACGTGTCTTAAGAGTAATAAGTGCCAGCCACGCGTATTAAAGGCGAGTCATGCTGAAACAACATTCCCTATTAGAGCATTAAATGCAGACGTGGGCGCATTAAATGTGGAGGAGGGAAAACGTGTCGTCACTTGAGTATTTCAACGGAAATGGATGACGATCTGATTTTTTGAGGCGTGACGGTCACTCTTCTTCGTTGATTCATGACACGTGGTTGTGATAAACGGTCAGATATGTTTTCTGCCCAAACGTCGTTTGACTTCGGGAAAACAAAGCGCCACTTCCTCAGCTATATAAACCCCAAGCTCTTTTTAGGTAAAGTCACAATATTTTCATTCTCAGAGAGAGCAAGAAACTTTTGCAAATCTTGGTTCTTTGCCTTTTAGAGTGGTGTTTGACTGATATTCGAAGCAGAAGAGCCAATCTTTCTCATCTCAAGAGGTAAAGATGAATCTCTTCTCTTGTTTTGATTTAATTTTGCTTTCGACAGCCATCATGCGACGACTGTCTGTCAGTATCTCATTGGAGATGAAATATTCTCCGTTGAGTCAGGTTCACTGATTTTGGCCCTTTAAGCATTCTGTTAGCTTTTTTCTAGGGTTTAAGGAAGGAAATATTTATTTTCCTTTCCACGTCATCATACGAAATAGTGTACGAGGACTGAATGGTTCCCTGCTTGTCGCTTTTGTAGAACGAAGCAAAATGGACCCCCTAACAACCAGCGCCGAGGAAGGGACCAGTTCGCCCATGCAGGATGCTCCTACGAGTCCTATTCGGGAGATCTTCTCTGTACTTATCGAGGAAGAGCTCGAAAGGGTGGTAGACCAGTATGCTATCAGCGTGAAGGTCTTCCGCGATAGGACACGTACAGTTGGGTATCCACCATTAGGGTTGGTCGCGATCTCCAAGGATATTATTAAGGGTGGGGGGTTGATCCCTTTCCACTCTTTTGTCAAGTCGATCCTAGATCCTTTCAGGATCACGCCATGCAACTCACATCGAACGCGTACATGATTGTCATGGCCATGTACATCACTTGTCATGAGAACGGGATGGGCGAGCTAACTGCAGTAGAACTCAGCTGCTCATATATCATAAAGAATAGCAAGGACAATGATTCTTACTACTTGTCCAGGCAACCTACCATAAAAGCGGGGATACACAGCTACCCGAGCAATGTAGGACCGTATGAGACGAAGTTCTTTTTCTTTTGCACGACGGCATTTGCCACTTCCGGGAGCCGAGTAGGTCTTTTTTCTTTTCGAATTCATTGAATTTATGCCTTTGGCTAACGAGCTGTTTATTTTTCTAGCAGTTAACAAAAAGACCAACTTAGATCTACTCGCAGACCCGAACCAGATCACAACCTTCGGTTTCCTGCCCAGGGCAAGTCCCGACGCGAGGCTGCTTATGATGACCGCGAACTTGTGGAAATATGGGTTCTTTAACAAGGACGCGACCTTAGAGACCCCGCCGAGTAAGTATCTTGACTTCTTTTTAATTCTTCGCATAGCGAACTGTTTTACTAACAGTGTTTACATGCAGCGACCATGCCTCCCAGAGTGCCCAAATGGGTCGAAGGCCCGAGCGAGGCAAATATCGCTACACATGATTTGATATTGTCGGCCTAAGTGGGTTGAAGGCCCGAGCGAAGCAGATATCGCTAGACATGATTTTGTTGGCCCAAGTGGGTCGAAGGCCCGAGCGAGACAGATATCGCTAGTAGGATATGATTGTGCCAACCCGAATGATGCATGGTCTCGCTTGGTCAAAGGCTTGAGCGGTGACCAATTCTGCCTAACAGGATGGATCTAGTGGTTCAACCCGCGCGATATTAGATCTTGTTGGGTTTGACGAATTTTCCCATGGGTACTAGTTGGATGAGAGTTTTCACATGTGATTGAGAGATAGTTTGGATATGTATATGTATTTGTATTTGTATACATGAATTTAAAATGGAAATTTATAAATGCAAGTGCTATCTGTATATGAAATGTTTTTAGAAATGAGATTTTTTTAGAGAAATGAGTATTGATTTGTTACCATAAAAGTTTTCAGAAAGAAGTTTTTGTAGTGAGAGATTTCAACATTGGTTATGAAATATGGTTTATATTATAAAATGTGTTTATGGAAATGAGATATTATAAGCATGAATTTTTTTTTTTTTTTTTTTTTTTTGTAATTTGAAATATTTATTGCATAATATATTCTCCACTGACTGAGCATTATAGCTCACCCCTTGTTTTTAAATGTTTTTCTTTTCCACCCCCACTAGGTCAAGAAGGAGATCATGCAAAGGAGTGAATCTCGCTCAAGGTTGAGCCACATGACTTCATTTCATCATATGTGTCATAGTTTTATTTTATTTTTCACTATAAAGTTTATGTTTCTTCATCATGTATTTATTTCATGTTATGATTGTAAAGATATATTAAAAAAAAAAAAAAATTGATACTATACGTTTCATTTTGTAAAAATTCAGTAGTATTTTTTTGTTTATAAATGATGTTATAATTATTTGTGAAAAACAAAAACGAGTGCCTATAATTTTTTTTAGCTAGAAGAGTTTTATGATGTTTTAATTCATAAACAGGTTTCATAGTTTTCTTACATGGCACGTCTCGGTCACCCGAGTCTCATGGGTGTGCCCGAAGCCTACGGGATTGGGAGAGTCGGGACGGGTCGTGTCAACTCCCTAATGTTATAATGATACCATGTGAACTTTTTTCAACTAACAAAAATAAAGAAAAATTTTCATATTTTAATTAAGCAACTCAAATAAATTGATTGTTACCACCATACGATATATTTGAGTAATATTGCAATATTAATCATAATAACGTTATTGGCTCAATATATTCATATTTAAGATTCAGTTTAAACAGAAAAAAAATAGGGCAATTTTGAAAATTTGTTGTCTCTGACTATCAACGTTATCGTTTAAAATAGGTTTTACCGGTGCAGAATTTATTCAAGCCAATATATATAATCCTAAGGCATATGCTATATGATAGTCATTTTAAAGATGTAGAATTCCTTTATTTTGCATGTAGGAAGATTGTCCGACAGATGGCTGCATTTAATTGGTGATGATGTGAATTTTTTACATTTGGTTGGACGTTATTGATGATGAAGTAGAATAGATTGATGAGTTGGATTTGATGGTATATGTGGCTTAATGTAATTGATGTTTGATATTATTTGTTATTAATGACAGATATTAATAACCTTATTGATTGTCGTTTGTTTCACATTGAAAATAAATGTTTTTATTTACATACAGATAAATTTATGTGTATCTAAAGGGTCTTATACTTTGTATGTCATTCAGAATATATTTATGTGAATTTAAAGGGTTTATATGTTGTATGTGTTTAGAGATATTAATGTGAATATGAATGGTTTGATAAATTTTTATTTTGTTACATTGTATGTGTTATGTGTTGCTATTTAATATAAGCGGTTAGAGATATTTATGAGAATGGGAAAAGATTGATACGTTGTATACTTTAATTTGATGTTCATAGTATATATATGTAATTATTTATGTAGTTTGGACGTTTGGTACATTATTACCAGTAAGAAACTGAGGTATAGGTATTCGATATTATAATTTTTATATGTTTATATGTGATGTTCTTGCTAGTTTATTGTTTATATTTTTTCCCTCATGTTCATGTCAGTTACTTTTTTGTGAAATTTGATTTAGGTATATATGATTTGTGGAAGAAACAAAGTTGCTGTTTATGTATCCCGGTGAAGGTAATAACTGTTTTTATTTGTTTATTGTGACACGCTAAAGTAATTGCATCTGATATTTGTATATAGTTTTTGGTATCTTTGTATTTGATTATCTGTTGGGCAAATTACAATGATATATTTTGCAATTTAAGGTTCAGTGTCGAACCGTGGCGAATTATGAGTATGTTTGCCATTGTGTCACACAAAAACCACATCATTGAACTATAATGATATATATTATAAGTTAAGGTTTGGCAGCCGAATCATAATAAATCATTAGTATGTTTGTGATTATATCACAGGAACTTCCCATGGTGAACCATGCATAACACTTATTAATTATACAATTATAATTTATAATTGTCAACATACAATTTAATTGTTGAACTTTGTTGGTTTATTATTGATACAACTGTGATTTTTTATTAAACCATTAAAATCCAAATGTTGAATGTTGCTGCACCATTACTTTATAATGAATGTTTTATGTTGAGGTATTTATTGATAATTGTCTTTTTTTCTCTCGTAAGTAATTCATTGTAATATCTTATTGTTCGCTTAAAGATCTTATCTAATCACATGATGATTGGATAACCATTGTCTGAGTAATAAGTTGTTAGAAATATATTAATTTTAAAATGAATAACGATGTGTTTAGCATTTATGTGGTTTTAATCCATGAACAGGTATAAAATATATTTATAATATAATATTAAATAGATAATGTTCTCAATTCGAATAAGTTAAAGGTTTATATTCTACCAAAGAAAGAAACCGATAACTCTCACTGGCAACGGTACCGTAATACTCCCAAATATATATGATATATACCATGTCGATTTTGTCCCCCTTACAGAATAAAGAAAAATAATTTCATACGAAAATTATGCAATTTATTTATTTATTTTTATTTGAGCATAGCATTATTCCCGGCATTCCCTACAAGCTTTTGTCTTAATTGGTGCCAGCTGTCGACATTTTTGTCAAAAATGTGCACAATTTCCACGTGTACCTCGTGGAAGCCTTTTATTAGAGTTGTTATTCAAACATGATTTGTCTGGTACCATAACGTGTCACGTGTCGCTTCTTTAAACCTAAAGTAATGGACTTCTTGTGTTTTGATTTCTCTTTTTAGTAAACATGAGTTTGCTTGTGTTTTATTAAATTGGGTAAATTTTATGGTTGATATAAAAAAAAAAATTAAGTTTGTTTATTAATAATATAGATAATAAAATTATATAAAACGAATTTTATTAATATATGTTATAAAATAATATAAGGTGTGTTTGGTTTATTATTTTGGGTAGGATTTTGGGGATAGTATTGGATAGTTGGATAGGGGGGTATTACGAGATAAAATTTAAAAATTTATAAAAAGCCCCCAAGGTTTACTAATTTAATAAACACCCCAATATATTAAAATATTGTAAAATGATAAAAACACCTCTACCACCCGCAGTGCTAAATTTTGGCCACTACCGTCGGAATATGGCCGGAAAATTGGATAACTACACATACCGGTCGGATCTGGCGGGTATTCGATCAATATGGCCTTTTCCAGCCATATCCACCACGGATCTGGTCGGAAAAGGCCAAATCTAAGGCCGGATGTGGCCTTCGACGACCAAATATATGACCATCGTTGTCTGTCAACGGTGTCCAAGATTTGGTCATCGTTGACAATCAACGACGGCTATTTCTTTGGTTGTCGCTGACGGCCAGATCCACCACGGATCTGACCATTATCGGTCATTTCCAGTGGTCGTGTGACTGTTGTGACAAATTTCGGCTACCACCGGTGGTGGTTGCCGGAATCTGGCAAATATTGGTGGATAGAGGTGTTTTTGTTAGTTTTTAAACTTTTTTTCTTGGGGGTATTTAATGAAATTAATAAATTTATGGGTTCTAAAAGTAATTAAAAATAGTTTAATATTTCAAAAATAACGTGTCAAACAATATTTAAAGAATAAGATTAGGAATATGGATAAAAACAATAAACCACCCATAATTATGTTAATTAATTAAAAAAAAAAGTAATATGTGAATTATGTTGTCAAGTACATCTAATATGATGTATATTTCCTTCTAAATAGGAGTCACACTCGATAGAATCTGACACATTTGACGGTTAAATTGTTGAACGTGAACAACCTATTTAGTTGTGAAAATGATGTTATATAAGATAATATTTCGGTCTATTCAATGAAAAATTAGATAAATAAGGAAAGAAGTCCATAAACTTTTGTTGAGTTGACTCATCTACCAGTAAAAAAGAGTTTTTCTAATGTTGAAAGTTATTTGTAGCCAAACAAAAAGTTTATAGGTGATTAAATCGGTTGTTTTACAGGTACGTTGGGTCGTTTTCTATTATAATTATTTCAAAAAGTTATTTGAAGCTTTGAAACGTCAAATATAGCTCCACGCTATTTTAAACATTTTGCTTTATCCTTATCTTTATATTAAAACAATTTATAAAGCATTAAAGCTCTTTTATTTGTGTCTAACTAAACAACCAACAATTTCTTCAGAAAAACTGTCTTTATTTGTTATACCATTTTGAATAATTGTTTTGTTATCCTATTTAGATTAAAAAATAGAATAAGCGTTTGTTTACTTATTAAGATTATTATTCTGAAAATTTATCCAAATCAAATAACATTTTTTTGTCTAAAAACGAAAAGAGAAGGAGACTTGTTTTCAGATTAGTCAATTCAAAACATTTTTCTATCCAACTCTATTCAACTTAAAACATTTTTTTCTTTCTCTTCTTCTCATTTTTCTCTCCTTTCAATCCACCAAAACCACCACTGTCGGCCAACGTGGTTGGAATAGCGTACAACCAGTCAGATTTGGTTGGTCATGCGCTTATCTGGCCGTCAACGACCAAATCTTTGACCCTAGATTTGGCAAAAAAATGGTCATATCGGCGCACAACTGATTCGATCCAACTGCTCATGTGCTGTTTCGATGACTATCGACTGTCGTTCGACGGTGGTGGTCAGCTATCCTCTTGGGTGGTTAGGGTGCTTTAGTTTATTTTTAAATTTTTATTGTGTGAGTGTTTAGCTAAATTAACAAATATAGGGGGTTAAAATTATTAATAAATCATTTCAAAAAATGTACTAAACAACTATTTTGTCTATATTTTTTTTTCAAAAAAATGTACCAAACAATTATTCCAGTATTTTATCCAACTTTGAATCTGATCATATTCAATTTAATCCAACTCAACTTAACTTAAAACACTTTTTCATAATAACATTTTTTAAATAATCTATCAAACAGGTTCTATATTAAGAGAAGATTCACTTCGGTAATTTCTATTTCCATAAGCCTGTTTTGAATAAACCAAACCCTAAAATTGTTTCAAGAAAAAAAAAAAGGAAATCTCTATAAAATGGTTACTTTCGTAAGCCCCACTTTTAAGCACATGATAGTACTTCAAAGTTGCAAAAAGTGTAAGACAAAGAAGAGTAGACAAAAGACTACCAAATAGGAAAAGGAAAAGGCGCCCCAAGGAATAGTGTTTTGTACAATGACCAGTGGGCACTTTGAGTGACCACGAAAGANTTTCTTTGACGTACGTATCATTGCTTCAAAACCCATTTTATTCCCATACCTTCTGTAATACTTCACCAAACTATCAACTGAATCAAACACCATTCCAATATGAGGCTCCACTTCTTCCTCTGCACATCCCGTATCTTCTAATTCATCACATTCATTATCCTGATTCAATGGTTTTATAATAAATAAAATTAAAATGTAAACGCATCATAATAAACAATACAATACACCATATTTAAAAAAGTTTCTAAAACAATTTACCTCAACATCATTGAAACGAGGAAAACTGGACTCTTCCATATTCAGTTATTTCATGCACAACTAATACCAGTTTTTACGTTCACGAATCTAGTTCACAACTGTCACCAACAAATATTATCTATCAAACATGTATTCAATCCATTCAAACATATATTCAATCTAAAAAACATGTATTCAATCCATTCAAACATATATTCAATCTAAAATAGAATATAAAATAAGTCAAAAATTCTTTACCTTCACAAACAAATCCTAGCTTTAGCAGTTTTGATATTTACTTTTGTTTCAAGGTTATCTCTGTAGGACGAGATATTGCTGCTGGTGCTTGGACGAGATATTGCTGCTGGTGCTTGGCTGTTGAGGAAGTAACCGGCGTCAAGGAATCACAACACGCAAGAAGGAGAAGCTAAGAAAACCAAATGGCGCAGACGAAGAACAGAAGAAAAACAAATAAGGGAGAGGAAGGCAAAGAGAAGAAAAAAATTGGGCGCTTAAATGAAGCGTATTAGGCTAAATGAAGCGTATTAGGCAAGCCATTCGTTATTATTAATTAAAAAAAAAAATTTTAACATGGATGCCAGTCCATGTATTTTGGACAGCCGTCCTAGTAGATGGACTGGCGTCCATGTAGTTTGGACGGCCGTCCCTAGTAGATGGACGCCAGTCCATATACTAGGGACGGCCGTCCATATTTACATTATATTAAAAAAAAAAAAATTAATAATAAACAAATTTTACAAACTGGGGACGGCCGTCCATCATTTAGGGACGGCCGTCCCTAAAATTTGGACGGCCGTCCTGATAATTTGGACGGCTGTCCTTCTAATTTGGACGGCCGTGCCGGCCCATATAGGGGGACGGCCGTCCAAATTAGCAGGACGACCATTCATCATATGTCTGTTTTCAATAGGTGCAACGTGGCGGCTTCCACGTGTTTTGGTGCAATTTTTCGGTGCAAGTTTTCGATGGGTATAGCATTTTTGCTACAATTAATATGTTTAACACTTTTCTAGATTCAGACTTTTTCATGCTCATTTTCGGCCCGAAAGTCTTCGCCGTGGCGAAACCTGCGTCAGATTTAAAAATAAAACGACGCGTTTTGGCTTGCTAGGGCTTCATCCTTAAGTGAGAGAGGTATAAATTAGAGCGAAAAGGAAGAGAAAAGAGTCTTGGTTTGTCATTTGGGAGGCAGCTCATGGAAGGAGAAGATTATTGAAGATTTGGACTTCAAATTAGAGAAGATTTCTCCATCTTTTGCTTGTTTTTCAATGATGAATCTTGATTCAGTTTGTTGTGTGTTACTCTGATTTTTAATGCTATATGTGATGAACATGGTGAGATTGAGAAATGAATCATGTTAGGCTTCTTGGGTAATCACCATTATAGTATTGGATGCTAGAGATAGATTCAAGAATTAATGAAATCATTATAGGATTCTTTTGCTTAATGAGTTTGGAATTATTAATCTTCAATTTGTTGGGTGCGGAAGGTTAATAAGGATGAATAGGAAAATATAGCCTGAGAGGGTATGTTTAACATATTAGTGAGTTCGATTTACAACCATTGCATATGAATGTGAATGTAGTGTAATTTTTAGGTTTAACCCATAAAAATCCAAATGAAGTCAAAACCCTACCCGTTTTACTTGAATTGATTATCCGTGTTTTCATATTGCTTTCTTAATTACGTTTTAATCTTAGTTTAAAATTCATTGTTGTTTTTAATTAGAATTTGCTCCCACCAATCCAAAGAATTCGATTGCTTCAACTTGATAACATTAGGAAACTCAGTGCTTTGCTAACAATCCTCGTGGGAATGATACTCTACTCATCATTTTATTACTTGAGCGACTAGTATACTTGCTACATTTTGCATGTTGTAAGAAACACGCATCACAAGTCTCGGCGGAAACGGTGGTAGGCATGGCGGCAAGTGCGATGTGGGACATCTACAAGGGGCTAGAGCTGGGAAGACTTATGGATAAATTACTACCAGATGTTCTCGGAAAGGTAGAAGTTATTGAAGGCGATGGCGGTGTTGGCACCATTGTTAAGCTTACATTTCCTACAGGTATTAAAATTTTCTTTCTAGATACTTGTTATTCTAAGTTCTCAGCTCAAAAATCTATAATTCGATTAATTTCCAGTTATAAGTTGTTATGCCTGAAAAAGTAGGGCTGACGTAAAACTCAGTCAACATAAAAAGTCAGAGCTTAGGTAGGTTCGCATCCAGTTAGAGGCAGCCACGTCACACAATGACATGGACGGCATGCCCCTATCAGGGCAGTGGGTGCGCGTCAGACCAGCCAGGAGCTAGAGTGATTCCACGTGTCTAATCCCTGCACCAAATCGCGTAAATCGCTCTAGAAGGTGGGCAATGGGACATAAAGAAGGATTTGCATGGATAATCCCACCAACTCACAGATTTAGTAATCATAACCTTAACCCATCCTACTATAAATTGAGAGCTCCTCTTTTATTTGGGGGATTAGCTAATCTCTCTAAAGAAAAATAACATTCTTTTACTCTCGTGTAATCATTTGTAAGTCATCTCGCTGAATGCGACCTGACCACTATTATTAATACTAAATCAGTGGATGTAGGATTTGCTTTCTTGAGCATCCGAACCACTTTAAACACTGTTCTCCATTGGTTTTACTCTCACTCTCTCATCCACGTGTGTCTTCTGGGCTAGCTCAGCATTTCACATGTGCGTTTGGTTGGTGTCAAAATCACGCATCAACAGTTTGGCACTAGAAAGAGGGTCTGATTTAGTATTCGTCCTTCATCAGGAGAATCTCTAACTTACTGGTCCTATAACAGCAAATGGCTCGCCGACTTGAACCTGAGCGAACCTATTAGGGTGCTGAGGAGATCCCCCAAATATAGAAGGACACCTCTCCCGAGGTACCTTTGGTTCTGCAAAATGTCACGGGGGATATCCCTTCAAGTTCAGAACTTGACCCTGCCATCAGAAGCTACCTATAGAGGTTCGACAATACTCTCCAGACGGTCAAAGGTTGGACCGTTTGGACCAGGGCATGCCACCCGAATCAAATGAGGCGGTGCAACCGCCAAAAAAGCCTATAGGTCGGGCAAAAGCGCGGCAAAGGGCAATAGCCCGTGCCGCGAGCACTGCAACGCGCTAAAGGAAGGGTAAGCAAGTGGCAAAAAATGGGCCTAAGGGCTCCAAAGGGCCGGCAAACACCGACCACGTCTCGAGTAGAATGCCCATGGCGTTAAAACTCGGTGAAAAGTCGCAGCCGTCCCATGCCACATCTCATGAAAACCCTTATAAAAGTGTTTGGCGGGGCGATTCTCATCACCGCCAGAGAAATAATCATGATCATAGTTGTGCGGGAGGTTCCTACACTCCGCGGGGCGGTTCGTACCACCGCGAAGGTCGTGAAAATTCCTCGCACCATTCATCGCCATCACACAGCTCTAGCCAGCGTGTGTCGAGAGCGGCCGGAACTACCAGCCAAGGCGAAGTGGAATCTGATCTCCAGACCTTTCTCAAGTGCAATCGCGAGGGGCGAACTCGTATAGGTGAAAGCAATCCCCAAATAGCTCCGCTGCCTCAGATTGAAGAGCTATAGCGAGCTCTAGATCAGCTAAAAGCTCAGCAAAACGAGCAAGGGTAGGTCACAGCAGCATCTCCCTTTTCTCTAGTAGTATTAGCCAACCCTCTCCCATCAAGATTTTGAATGCCTGAGATGCGGGCGTTCGATGGAAATTCTTATCTGTTGGATCACTTGTATGAATTCAACAACCTGATGGAGCTTCACCAGGTTTCAGATTTGGCAAAGTGTCGTTGTTTAGCAGTAACTCTAACCTCTTATGCTAAACGATGGTTCAAGTCGCTCCCAGCGGGATCGATCAGCTCGTGGCCTCAGGTGAGCGTGACATTCCTAAGGCATTTCCAAGCAAACCGAAAGTTTTCAATGCCTTTGAGCTACCTCAGCAATATAAGGCAAGAGATGGATGAATCCCTCCAATCGTACATCGATTGATTCCACAGAGAGCTTAATAAGGTAGCTCACACTCCCGAAGAGTTTGTTCGGACTCTCATCATAGCGGGAGTTCGCCCACAGACCGACCTGTGGAAAAAGTTATAGGCTGAGGATGATGTTTCCCTTACCTGTTTTTATAACCTTGTGGAGAAGTAGCTCCGAATTAAAAATTCTGTGGCGACGCTCTACCGTCGCAACCCCGGTGCTTCAGGTAGTGCGCCTGGTCGAGGGGAAAGTAGGAGAGTTGACCGCAGATGGGCTACTTACGATCAACGAAAATGAAAGAAACCGCGCTATGAGCCCAAAACTTCTTATGCTCCAGTTCCTCATCGCGATCGCGACCGAAATCAGTATACGCCTTTGAATGTGTCTGTATCGCCTATTCTTGACAAGTCAGAAGAAGCTAGCTTACTCAGAGAGCCTGAGCCCATGAAAAATCCCCCATCAGCTAGAAATGGTAAAAAATACTATCGTTTTCATTGGGATAATGGGCATCACACCGATGAGTGCCTAGCTCTCAAACAGGCAATTGAAGACCTCATCAAGCAGGGGCATTTCAAGGAATATATTGATGACTCCACTCCCGCACAAGAGAAAAATCAAAGGGAACCAAGAAAGAAGCGTTGTGATTGCAAAGGTATATACAACATCAATTTGATCTTTGGGGGACCGCACCTCGCAACCAACTCGCGAGATGCCCAGGAAAGATATGCTCGCGCAGCCTATCATGATCCCATCAGTGTGATGAGCACGACCTAGTGACCACAAAAGGTTCGCAGAGAGGAGGAAATTACCTTCTCCGAAAAAGATGTAGTTTGATTGCATCATCCCCACGATGACACTCTTGTGATCACGCCCTTGATAGGGCGTCATAATGTCCACAGAATATTGGTGGATAATGGAAGTGTTGTGAACATCCTTTTCCAGATAGCTTTCGAAAGAATGAACTTGGACGAGGCTGACTTGAAGCCCGCCTCAATCCCCCTATATGATTTTACAGGGGACCACTTGATCCCCAAAGGAATGATCTTACTTCCAGTCACGCTGGGTGACTTTGACGAAGTGACCAAGGTAACTGAGTTCTTGGTAGTGGATTGCCCATCCGCTTTTAATGGTATCCTAGGGCGACCTCTGCTGAGAAACTTCAAGGTAGTCACCTCGATATACCATCTAAAGATGAAGTTCCCCACCCCGACGGGGATAGGGGAAGATAGCGAATCTCAGCGCGTATCTCGCGACTGTTATGTAAAAGCAGTGCAGATGGCATGCAAAGGGAAAGGTATCTCGTGCGACATTCCCCGACAGGCGATGGCGATCAGTCGGATCGAGTCACAGCCTGGCCCAGCCGAGGATAATATGGATCCTCGTATTCAGGAATACCCCTCCAGTAGGCCAGTTGAGAATCTGTCTGAAGTATCAGTCGACCAGAGCAAGCCGAGCAGAGTATTAAGGATTGGGAGCAATCTTAACCCCCCGCTCGCCACCGAACTGACTAGCTTCCTTAGAGAGAATATCGATGTGTTTGCATGGTCGCATGCGGATATGGTCGAGATCAGCTCGGATATTATTAGCCATGCATTGAACATCGACAGTGAAGCCAAGCCGATTAGCTAAAAGAGAAGAGCGATAGATCCAGAACGATATGCCGCCTTAAAACTTGAGGCAAATAATCTTCTTCGAAATGGATCCATCCGAGAAACACTCTATCTGACCTAGGTTGCCAACCCGGTTCTAGTAAAGAAGCCCAATGGCAAATGGCAGACCTATGTTGACTTCACCGACCTCAACAAGGCATGCCCGAAAGATAGCTTTCCCTTACCTAGAATCGACCAGCTCATGGATGCCATCTCCGGGCACGAGCTGCTTAGTTTCATGGATGCATACTCGAGATACAATCAAATTCTGATGTACGTGCTGGACGAAAAGCATACGTCCTTTGTTACATATCGGGGGCTGTACTGCTATAAAGTTATGTCCTTTAGCCTCAAGAACGTTGGCACAACTTACCAGCGGTTGGTTAACCGAATTATCTCCGAACAGATCAAAAAATCGATGGAGGTCTATGTAGATGACATGCTGGTCAAGTCACATGTCGCTTCAGATCAGATAGCACATCTCGCTGAGATGTTCCAAATCCTCCAGCAATACAGAATGAAGCTAAACCCCCTCAAGTGCTCATTCGAAGTATCCTTGGAAAAATTCCTAGGATACATGGTTAACCAATGGGGAATAAAGATTAACCTTAAGAAAATCCAAGCTCTCCTCAATATGAAAAGCCCGACCAACAAAAAGTAGGTCATGAGCCTCAATGGGCGAATAGCGGCACTCAATTGCTTCATATCGAAGGCAACAGATCGTTGCTTGCAATTCTTCAATGTTCTAAGGGCCAATAAAAAGTTTGAGTGGACTCCCGAGTGTGAACAGGCATTCCAGAGTATTAAAGAGCACCTTGGGAAGCCACATCTTCTATCGAAGCCTCTCCCATAAGAGATCCTCCTTTTGTATCTATCCGTCTCTCAGTTCGTGGTCAGTGTAGCCTTAGTTCAGGAAGAGGACAGGGTCTAATGACCAGTGTATTACGTGAGCAAGTGTATGTTGGATGCCAAGATGTGGTATCCGAAAATGGAACGGTTAGCCCATGCCCTGCTGATCGCTTCTAGAAAGTTGCGACCTTACTTCCACGCCTATACGATCCATATAATGATTAATTACCTGCTCAGGAAGGTCTTCCAGAAGCCAGAGGCATCAGGTAAACTGCTTAAATGGGTCATGGAATTAAGTCAGTTTGATCTAAAGTACAGACCGAAATCAACTATCAAAGGGCAGGCTGTTGTCGACTTTATATCAGAATTCTCATATCATCCGACGAATGAGTTGAAGCAACAGCCCAATGAAGTCATTCAGGAAACTGCTCAAAATCTATCGACTTGGAGCCTCTATGTCAATGGATCATTGAACAGAAAGAGGGCTGGGGCAGGTCTTCTCCTTTTGAGTCCCGAAGGGGCTCACATTCATGGCATTCTCCGGTTTGGTTTTAAGGCAACCAATAATGAGGCCGAGTATGAAGCTCTGCTCGCTGGACTGCGGTTGGCCAGAGAAATGGGTGCAACCGCGATTAGTATCCACAGCGACTCCATGCTGGTCGTTAACCAGATTTTGGGAGAGTACCAAGCCAAGGAAGAAAATATGATCAGCTATCTGAAGAAAGCTAAGGCCGCACTCGAGTCGTTCAGGCACTTCATGATCACACAAATTCCTAGAGAGAGCAACTCTGTGGAAGATACCTTGGCAATGATAGCCTCGTCATTAGACTCAGATACACTGGAGAGCATTCCTGTTCGATTCATCGAGACCCCCAGTATTAGCCCGATCGAACAGGCCGTGAATGTAACAAAATCAGATTCCTGGATGACCCCTATCATTCAATATCTCAGGGACAGGACCTTGCCTGACGACAAGGTAGAGGCAAGGACTCTACGAACAAGATCTGCTCGTATCCTTTTGCAGAGAAGCACTTACTTCTACAGCCTACCTAATCAATAGGGTACTCTCTAGCTCTATTGGGTTCTAGACACCTTTTTAGGCTCTTGGCAAAGCAATGAATGCTCCAATGGTTCCAAACTTACCGCCTCATGTTTTTGGCTGTATCGCCTTTGTTCACCTCCATAAACATCAATGCAACAAGTTGTCCCCTCGTGCTTTAAAATGTGTTTTCATTGGGTATGGTGTTCATCAAAAAGGGTATTGATGCTATCATCCTCCAGCTTACCAAACATTTGTGACGATGGATGTTGTTTTCCATGAAGAAGCAATGTATTTTTCTTCTGAGTCTGAACTTCAGGGGTAGTACTGTCAAGAAAAAATTTAGACTTTTGACTATGCTGTTCAAGATGTTGTTCAAGATGTGAGAGGCTATGAGACACAAACGAAGCCTATTGATCGATAGGAAGATGAAGTGGATGATGAAAATGTGGAAGTGGTATCAAACCTGTCCATAAAAACTTCTCAATTTGAGTCCTTCATTCCTGGTATGTCATATCCATCATTCGATGAGAATGTTCCTGATTTAGAGACTGAACCAATTGAGTCTAAACCAATTGAGTTTGAACCAATTAGGAAACGATTACCACCATGTAATACTAGAGGGATTTCTAAACTAACATACGAACTTGAGCTATCTAGTAAGGTCAAATATCCCATGAGTCATTATGTGTCTAACCATCGTCTATCAGAATCAAATTTGTCATTTGTGAATCAATTATCTGCTTTATCTATTCCTAACAGTGTGCAAGAAGCCTTATCTAATCCAAAGTGGAAAGTTGCCATGAATGAAGAGATGAAATTGTTACAGAAGAATGAGACTTGGGAACTTGTTGATCATCCACTAGGAAAGAAGACTGTTGGATGTCGATGGGTTTACACTATGAAGTATAAAGCTAATGACACAATTGAACGATTTAAAGTAAGACTAGTAGCAAAGGAGTACACCCAAAGTCATGGGATAGACTATACAGAGACATTTGCACCTGTAGCCAAAATCGACACGACATGTGTCTTGTTATCTTTGGCTGCAAACCTGGACTAGCCATTATAGCAGTTTGATGTGAAGAATGTTTTCCTACATAGAGAATTATCTGAAGAGATCTACATGGATCCTCCACTAGGGTGTATCCTTCCAAGGAGGCATAGCCAAAAGGTTTGTAAGTTAAAAGTCATTGTATGGGTTAAAACAATCTCCAAGGGCATGGTTTGGGAGGTTCACCAAAGCTATGAAATTTTTTGGCTACCATCAAAGCAATTCAGATTACACACTGTTTCTTAAAATATAGCAAGGAAAGATCACTACACTTATTGTATATGTGGATGATATGGTGGTTATAGGAAATGATCCAGAAGAAAGGAAGGCTCTGCAAAAGTACTTATCAGAGGAATTCAAGATGAAGGACTTAGGTTCTTTGAAAGTTTTTCTTGGAATCGAAGTGTCTTGATCTAACAAAGGTATCTTCCTATCACAAAGAAAGTATGCCTTGGATGTGCTGCAAGAAACTGGTATGTCAGCATGTCAACCAACTGATACACCAATTGAAGAAGGTTTGAAATTAGGAGTCAAGACTGATCAAGTACCAGTTGACAAAGGGAGATACCAGACACTTGTGAAAAGATTGATGTACTTGTCTCACACTAGGGCAGATCTTGCTTATGCATTGAGTATAGTTAGTCAATTCATGCATAATCCTGGAAAGCAGCATATGAATGCAATTATGTGTATCTTGAGATATTTAAAACATGCTCCTGGAAAGGGAATCTTATTTTCTAAAAACAAGGACTACCAAAATGGAATGCATATACTGATGCTGATTAGGCTGGAGTAGTGGATGATAGACGATCTACTTCTGGTTATTTCGCTTTTGTAGGAGGTAATCTAGTCACGTGGAGAAGCAAGAAACAAAATGTTGTGGCACGCTCAAGCGCTGAAGCACAATTTAGGGGAATCACACTTGGGATTTGTGAAGCTTTGTGGCTAAGATTTCTATTGCAAGATTTGGGCTATCAATCTAATCAACCAATCCAGTTATATTGTGACAATAAAGCAGCATGTGATATTGCTCACAATCCAGTTTAACATGATCGTATGAAGCATGTTGAAGTAGACAGGTTTTCCATCAAAGAAAAACTGGATGAAAATATTATTGAATTGCCCAAGATTCGATCAAAGGATCAATTGGCCGATATTCATACTAAGGCTGTCTACAGACGTATTTTCTCACAAGTTTTAGACAAGTTTGACATGTGTGACATCTACGCACAACTTGAGAGGGAGTGTTGAGATTCCCTAAATATTTCCAAAATATTATGTAATCTCTTAATTTTGTCAATTTTAGGATACTCATAATATTTTTGATATCCTGTAATCTCTTAATTATGTCGGTATATTGTAATTATGTCGGTATATTGTAATTGACATAATTAGGAGAATCTATGGACTGTATCTCCCCTACATAAAACATGTAACTATTAGGGTAAAATCAATGAATTGGAAAATAGAATTCATTAAATTCGCATGGTATCATTTCCTCCTATTATTATATCTTCTTTCTAATTAAATACTTTTTGTTTTAAGTTCGCAGATCTCTATAACTTATGGAAGTCATCAAAATCTTAAAATATATATATATTTTAAAGTTAAATGTTTGGGTAAATATTTCTATAAGAATTCTTAAATATTATATCCGAGGTTTAAATTATTTCTGTTTTTGAAAATATAAACATTATTTTTTTCTGTAATATAAAATGTATCAGTACTGTTTAGGATGCTAGCTAGGTTTGAGGATGCTAAATGGAATGGCGCCTTTTTTTTTTTTTTTTTTTTTTTTTGTGCTTATTTATGGTTTATATACTATTTAGAGAAATGTGTTAATAGACATATAGTAACTTTTATTATGATCTTAAAATTGTTAATTTTAATTTATATATAAAGTACGACATGTATGAATATATTAATTCTCTAGTTAGGACGTTCTAATATTATTTTTATCGGGTCATGCTTAATCACCGTTAGATTTATCTCACATTGGATTTATATGATCTTTTAAATTTCAAATTCAGTCGTATATAGTCATGGTTCTGATTAGAGAATAACTATATATGTACATATCATAAGAAAGTATGAATAATATAGATATAACAAAAATTCTTATATTATTTGTTTTCAAGCTTTAAACTAATTAAAATTGTTTTTGAAAATACAATCATATTTCTTTGTTTTTAATTTTTTATATTATATATTTTATATGTATTCTAACAAAAAGAATAAAATTGTTTCTAAATTAAAGTATGTGATATGTAACAAAATGCTAGATGGGTTTGAGGAAGTTAATTTCAATAAGTAATGATATATATATATATATTTTGGGTGGTTTATAAAGGAACTCCTGGAGCTGGTTATATAAAGGAAATATTCAAAAAGATTGATGAAGAGAAGCGAGTGAGGGAAACAGAAATGATTGAAGGAGGGTTTAAAGTACTTGGATTTGAATCCTATATAATTCGGCTGGAAATTATTGAGAAAGGTGGTGAATCAAGTATTATTAAATCTTCAATTGAGTATGAGGTCGATGATAAATTAGCCAATCTTGCTTCTGAAGTTACCACCAGGCCTCTGGAAATAATGGCAGAAGCCATTGGGAAATACCTCAGCAACCAGAAAGCCTCTGCGTAGAATGTTTTGACATCAATTCTAGCCATGTTACAACATAATATAATAAATTGTAAGAGTTAAGCTATGTAGAAGAAATTCATTTTTTGTTCTGATGGCTACATGTGGAACTCTTTATATTTAACATATATTAATTGCATTATGTTTTCCTGGTTATGAGATTCAATTTGAATCATGCAGAGACAATTATCTTTTTATGTCGGTTGCGTACTCGAATTTTCATTGGTAATTAAGTTATACTTTTTATTCATATTAATAACATAATAAGAAACTGCTCTAACCCTTTGAGAATTCATTGATATACAGACCCTTGGGTTTTCGGAATTACACTTGCTGAGAGGAAATTTTCAGCCTAGCCCAAGTTGATGAAGCTGAATAAGAGAGTCCATAACAAACAGGCCCAAAATATTTGAACAAATACTGACAATATGCCTAAGTTAAATATGGTATAGGATTGATGACATGGTAAAAGCGGGCCATACTAAAAGTTTGGGCTCCCGAGGCCTAAACCAAAGACGTCCACCTAGATGAAAGGAGACTGAAAACTAGCCCAAAACCCGTCAAATATTAAAAAAAAAAAAAACATTTAGTGTGACACATGGCATGAGAGAAGAGAATGTCTCTAACCAACCTTATCACCTGTCTTTCACTCTTAAGTTAAATTCCGCTACCTATAAAATAGGAGATTAATTTCTCACCATCACTCATGTTCCATTCTAGGCATTAGGGATGACAATAGGCCTGATATTTCTGGATATCCAGCCTGGCTCAGTCCCAAAATGTCAGGATTTGCTCGGTGTTAATGGACTTGGACTTAAGCCTAGGACTGATTTTAGGGTCCGACCTCGAGTACGGGCCAAGCTTGGGATAATCATCATGCCCAACACGACTCGACGATTTTACTATTAACTTTATTAAATTACTCTTATAATTTATATCTAATTACATAATTATCTTACATATATATAATATACCCATTTTTTCCTAAACCTAATCTCATCCCATTCATAGGAATATGTAAAGGCTTGGTGAATTGTAATGTAATTTTTTAAGGCCATTTGCATGGTTAACCAAATTGCTGCAGAGGGCTTAAGTTAAGGAAATTATTGAATAGTCTTTGACTCTTCGACTTGCTTTTAGAAAGAACGCTACTCTTTAGAAAAGTTTCAAAGCATCCTTATGGACCTGCCCACTTTTACTTCTTTTTAATAAATTAAAACTTCAGTTTATATATGTTGTTGATGGTTGATTTTGACACCAATTATTCGCACATGAGAAATGCTAAGCGGGCTAAGAAGTCACACGTGATTATGGAAGTATTTGATTTGATAAGGGTGAAGAACAATGTTTAAAGTGGTTCGGATGCTCAAAAGCGAATCCTACGTCCACTGATATTGTATTAATGAAAGTAGGGTCAAGTCACGTTCAACGAGCTGAGTTACAACTTAGAAAATACAAGAGAGAGAGAGAGAGAGAGAGAGAGAGAGAGAGAGAGTATGCTATTCCAGAGTGAAATTAGTCAATCCCGCAAATGAGAGAGAAGTCCTCTATTTATGGTGGGATTGGTCAAGGTAATGATTACTAAATCTGCAAGTGGGGTAGGTATCGTGCAAATCCTTCTCTACGTCCCATTGCTCACCTAACCGAGTGATTTCCTCAACTTGAGTAGGGATTGGACACGTGGACCATCTCCAACCATTTGCCAACCTGGTGTACACCCACTACACTGGCAAGAGCATGCCACTCACGTCATCACGCGACGTGGTCGCATCTGAGCGGTCGTGAAACCTTCTTAAATTCTGACCACTTTATGTTGACAAGACTCTGCGTCAGCCCTACTTTTCCACACATAACTGCGTCAGCCTTAGTTTTTAAGGTTTGAGAATCGAACCTTAAGAACTTCACAATTATGCCTTGATTTGATATGTTCCGAATGGTGCCCGATCGATCCGACCTAGCTTCAAGGAGGTCACAAGACATTTCCATAAAGGCGACCTGAAGTGGTCTCCTTCCGCAAGATCTACAACCCAGACCAGACCTTATTCGGGGCCGTATTGATGCGCCTCTTATCTTGATCGAGGCCCGTAACCTGGTTATACTTACAGTATTTTTGCTTAAGGCAAGGAGTCACATCGCTTTGCAACTGACTGTCACATCGCTTTGCAACTGACTGTCACATCGCTTCGCAATTGACATGCGACGAAAAGTGTTTTATCTAACAACCTCTTCAGATGTTATCCGTTGCAATTTGGCAGCTAATCCGTTAATAAAATACCTTTTGCTCTAACAAATGTGTCATATGCGCAATAAGTGCTAGCCATGCTTATTAAATGTAAGCCATGCTTAAACGACATTCCTTATCGGAGCATTAAATGCGGATGAGAGCGCATTTAATGTGGAAGAGGGAAACGAGCCGTCGCTTGATTTTTTCAACAAAGGGAAGCGAGGATTTGATTTCTCGAAACGTGATGGTTACTCCTTCCTGTTAATTAACGACACGTGGTCATGATCAACGGCGAGAGATGATTTTCGTCCAAACGTTGCTTGGCTTCGAGAAAACCAATCACCACTTCCTTCACTATAAAATCCCAGGCTCACCTTAAGCAATGTCACAACACTTACTTTTTCAAAAAGAGCAAGAAGCTTCTGTGAGACCAGATTTTCCATCTTTCAAATTGGTGCACACTTGACGTTCACAGTAGGAAGTTCAATCTCTATATTCAAGAGGTAAGGATGATTCATTCATTACTTCCTTTTTCTGTTTTGACGATAACCATGCGATAACGATTGGTGTTTGCGGGTGGTTGACGGAGAATAGGCTTTCCTCTTGGGTTTGAGTCTTTGGGGGTGGTCCCCAAGGATTCATAGGGTTTTTCTAGGGTTTAAGGAAGATAGTGTTTATCTTTTCTCCCACGTCATCGTACATAACTTTGTACGATGACTGAGTAATTCCTCCATGTCACTCTTTTTCAGACCGTAGAAGAAATGGATCCTTTAGCGACCAAAACAGATGAGGGAATGAGCTCGCCGGTGCAGGACGCCCTAGCGGGTCCCTCACAGGAAATCCTATCAATAGCCACAGGAGAGGAAATTCAAAAAGCGGTAGACCAATATGCAATTAGCGTAGATGTCTACTAGCACAAGACGTATACAGCTTGGAGTCCGCCAGAGGGAATGGCTGCGATCTCCGAGAACATATTCAAATGTGGAGCACTGATTCCCTTCCACGCTTTCATAAGGTCGATCCTCGATCACTTCGGAGTCACACCATTACAGCCGACACCAAATGCGTATATGATAGCCGTGGCTATGTATATCGTATGCGACAAGAACAGTCTCGACGAGCTGACTGCACTAGAGCTCGACTGTTCGTATTACCTAAAGAAGAGCAAAGACAAGGACTCTTTTTACCTCTCTAAGCGATTTACGATCGAGGGAGGAATACACAGTTACCTCAGTAACATCGAGGCGTATGAGACAAAAATTTTCTTTTTCCATTATGATGGCATTTGCCACTTTAGGGAGCTGAGTAGGTCTTCCTTTCTTTTACTTGGCAAATTTTCTTTCTTTTAATCTTTGCTAACTTCCGTTTCTTCGCAGTAAACAAAACAACCAGGTTTTCGGCTCTCATTGATTTCAACAAAATAACTACCTTCGGTCTTCTACCCGAATAGAGTCACGACGCGAGGCTGCTCGTGACAACCGCCAACCTACAAAAATACGGCTTTTTCAACCCTGAAGCGACCTTGGAATCTTCATCGAGTAAGTGTCTATAACCTTAGCCAAACTTATTGTTTGCATGCACTGAACTATTTTGCTAACGATATTTGCATGCAGCGACCATGCCACCAAAGGTGCCCAAGTCGCTGCGAGCTAGAGAGTTCACCTTTCCTCGGGTCGGTGCCACGGGACCAGTCGGGTCGACCCCCACCGATCCCCCTATTAGAGGAACGTCGACAGGGGTGCCGACTAAAGTAGCAGATGCTCCCCAGCTTGCGGCTGCCCGACCTAAGCAGAAAATCGTGGCCTAGAAATCCAAGAAAAGGAATCAACTAGGAGTCAGAGTCCGAGCCAGAGGGCTTGGGCATTCAGTCCGAGGGGTCGTAGCCTTACCAGACCTTTCACTCGGGAGGGCCCCCCAAGGGTGCGACTGACATTACACTTGCCCCTGAGGGTTAATACAAGGGGCAAAGGAAGGTTGCGGTTCCTGAGAGGAAAGTAGGAAAGGAACCAGTAGGCGAGGTACCACCTGCCATGGGAACGGGCACACTTATGCTGGATTCTATGGGGCAACTCCCAGAGCACTTTCAGCCAGTGATGTTCACCTTGTTAGAGTGCTAGCTCGCAAAGGCTTTTGAGCAGCTCGTGGCATCTAACCCCGTGGACTTGATGACCATGACGTTTCAGCTACAAAGCCAGGTAAGAGGGTTCGTCTTCATTGAGGACTTTCTTATAGTTCCCTTACTTTTTTAATGAAGAGGAATTTAACCCCCTGCTCCCTTTGTTTATGTAGTCACTGCTCGCCATGCACCTGGCCTAGCAGATGAATCAATTGGGAGCCGCTGAGGGGCTCATCGAGCTGAAAGAAGAGAACGTGCGGCTGAAATAGGACTTAGAAGTCGCACAAACAGAGATGAACCTATCCACCGTTCAGACGAACCAATATCTATCGAAGAGGAATGCTATGCTTCGCACGGTGGATTTTTAAAAGGCCGAGCTGGAGAAGAGGGGAGAAGAAGTTAAGAAGCTCCAAAAGATAGTGGCCAAACTCACCAGGGAGGTTGGCAAGAAAGAGTTGGAGCTACAAGTGAACTCCGAGTAGGCCTTGCAAGTAGAATAGGACAGAGTGCAGCTGTGGGAGATCTCCGAGAAGCAAAGGTGGGCACTTGAGGTAGAACTCCAGTTGTCCTAGGGAGGTGTCGCTTTGTTAACCAAACAGATAAAGCGACAAGAGCTAAAAATTGAGAGGAGAGCTGCTGATTGGTCGATCCAGTCCATCTATG